CCCCAAAACCCCAAAACCCCAAAACCCCAAAACCCCAAAACCCCTTAAAAAATGTACAATTTTACTTAAAAAATGGAGGACTCAAGGAAGGAAAAACGGGAAAACGACTTTTTCTCTAATCCAAATTTGACAGACATCAAACGGAAGCGAGAAAAATACCTTGTGTCTCTTAGAAAGAAGAAGAGGTACCAGATCTTTATGGAGAAGAGGAAAATCATAACTAGAGAGCCTAATCAGGAATTCTCAGAAGGTTTGAGGCTCTATGAGTCTCTAGAAGAGCAAAATCAGAAGGATCTTACTCTTCTTGGAATTACTCCTGAGGATTTTGGTGATGAAGGGTTCGAGAAGGTCATTTCTACATTTTGTAGCTCCACTGATCCTGAAGTCTTAGAGGCCTCCATCCGGATTCTAGACAATTTTGTCAAAGGCATGATTGAGACAAATAGAGCACAAGAATACGTATGAGAGCTTAGAGATGATCTCCTAGAGAAATACGCAGAGATCTTACAACTCGATGGTCATCTTCGTTTGAAGTATAATGTTTTGTGATTCGTAATAAACCTCACTGGAATTACAGCTGAATATACACCCAAATTTTATAAAAAGTATGAAGAAACTTCATTTACTAAAATTTTATGCGAAATAATCACTCAAGAAATTGACCAAGTAGATGCTAAGATTTCACTTAAAACTTGCAAAGTTGCTTCAGTAGCTCTCTGGGTGATAAGACATTTAATTTGAGATCAAAGAATTAGAGAGAGTTTTCTCAAAAACAATATATTTGGAAAACTCCCTCTTGGATCACTAGAGTGTCCCTCTGAAACAACAATAACAGAAATAAGCACGTCTATTTTCCAAATTCTAGATACCCTTACACTGAATCTTGACGAAGACTATTTTTATTCCCTATTTGAAGAGTTTTTGCCAATTTTGACCACGACTATTCAGAAAATTTGAAATGATAATTCTCTGACTCTTAGGGACATTTTATTCTCTCCCCAAAATGCCCATCCTACAAAATCCCAGAGTGAGGCTTTCCTAGCACACAAAGATGAGGAAGACAAGGAAAGTAACCCTTCAAGCTCTCAAAAATTTTATACTTCCACTGATATAGACAAGCAAGTAAATAAAAACGCTCCTGAAGATTTTGCATATGACCTCAGAATTGTAGTGTTAAAAATAGTCACCCAAGTGACTTCTCTCAGCAGCCACTTCATCGATCTCTTGATGGGAGAGATTCCATCTCTCCCTGAAGAGACTATCAAAGTTATTCGTGAGAAGGACAAAGGGATCTCATTCCTAGGCTTAAAATTAGCAGGCGACATGTGTATGTACACAGGAAAACATGAAGATATCTCCCTCAGAATCACCAAAGCAGGGCTAGTAGAAGAGCTTTCACACGTATTAGACACTTATAGCGACGTAGTCGATGTAGTTAAAGAAGCCTTATGGACCTTTAGCAACCTTTGCTCGACTAGTACGACTACTTTTAACGAAATTTTGGAACATGACTACGCTGGACTACTTGAATGCATTTGAAAAATATTAGCAAAAACTCTAGAGCCCAGGATTATACACGAAGGAATGCACTGTATTAAGAAGTTGGTAGCCTTCAGAAACAAAACTGTCTGAGATGTCTTGGTTGAATGAGATATTAACAACATTTTAAAGGAAGTTATTAAGCTTCCATCTCTAGCCCCAAGAACATTATCCCTTTGTTTAGAGTCTTTATACATTTTATTCGAAATCTCTAGAGGAGTCAGCCTTGCAGGCAATGATTATGCCAGAAAGTTTTATGAAGTGCAAGGCGTGGAAGTTTTGGAAGACCTAGCACTGAAAACAGTTAGCACCAAAAACACACAACTTGCCGAGAAAATAATAGAAGAATTCTTCAGAATACCAGAATAATTAATAAAATTTCAACACAAATATGACTATTAGGGGTTTTGGGGTTTTGGGGTTTTGGGG